CAATCGGTAAAAACTAATTCTCGAGGTAGAAATTGTCTGCTCATGGGTGATTTCAATGCACCCAGCATCGACTGGTCTCTTCACTGTGATCTTCCCATGGATTCATTCGAAGCGAGCCTATTCTGAGTTATTCATGACTGCAACCTGATTCAACATTTCACAACACTGACACGGCTGCTGCCTGGTCAAACGCCTCACATTCTTGATCTAGTGCTCACCCCTGCGCCCTCGGACGTCAATGGCCTGAAGATCATCCATCCACTTGGCCAAAGCGACCACTACACAGTTTCCTTTCTGTGGACACGCCGTCTCGTCATACATGACCAAGGGGCGTGTCCTCATAACTATTGGCTTGTTGTTCCATCTAGACTACAATAAGTGGCAAGCACTACAGACTGGAATATACCCCACTCCATGGAGCTCGACAATGCATGAAACCTACTCCATTCGAAGTTGATGTCGGTCATCGAGTAAGTCATCCCTAGCTCCAAACGTAGGCCTTTTCCTGATGCTCCTCCTTGGATTGACCGCGACCTAAGATCCCTTATAAACAGACGAACTGTGGAATCAATTCAAGTCTACACAAGCTACATCTGACTACCTGAAGTACAAAGCAGTCAGAAACCAGTGTACGCTGAGGAAACGCCAGAAACGGGGTCAATACGAACATAGCCTGGTTGTTCGATCCCGCAGTTGCCCTAAGAAACTCTTCTCGTATCTAAGGCGAAATACCGAGGCAGGCAGTGGCATTCCTACCCTAACTCCTCACGATGTAGACGATGTTCTCTATGGCGATGATTAAAAACCTCACCTACCTACTAGTCACCCAGTACTCATCGGTCTACTCAGTAGAGTCCTCGCTACCCAGTGATGATCTGACAGCGCACTGTCCGCTACTGGAGCAAGTCTAAATCACTCCTGAGATAGTATTGCAACTTCTAATCCAATTAAACCCGAATTCCGCTCCAGGTCCCGACGAACTTCACCTACTATTTCTCAAGATGGCAGCTCAATACATAGTTGCGCCAATGTGCCAAGTGTTCCGTCGCTCGCTCGCGCATGACCGATTGCCATCTGACTGGAAAGTAGGCATAGTACTTCCGAAACATAAAGGAGGTAACCGGCATGATCCTGCGAACCACCGGCCGATATGCCTGACGTCTGTCATTTGCAAGATCATGGAAAGAATTTTGAAGCGTACCCTACACGTTCACTGCGAAAGCACTCGCGTTATCTCTCTCGCTCAGCACGGTCTTGCATAACTAATTTGCTTATTGCTAGAGAAGCATGGGCCAGTGCAGTAGACTAGAGGAGACACCTAGATGTTGTCTGCATCGACTTCAGCACAGCATTCGATAGACTTCCACACAAACGAGTACTACTTAAACTCCAGGTGGTTAGAGTCAGTGGAAATAACCTATCTCAGATAGAAGACTTTCTCCTATCTCGGACCATTCGAATGAATGTGAACCAGACCCTCTCTGCCCCTGTGCCTATGACTAGCGGCGTTCCCCAAGGCTCCGTCCTCGGGCCTGAACTTTTCAAACTCCACATTAACGACCTCCCTGCGACACTTCAAGCTGACTGCCTAATCTATGCAGATGACCTCAAACTATGGTCAGAAGTATCCAGCCTTGATAACGTCGATAGGCTGCAAGCATCACTTGACCTGCTGCATGATTGGTCCGTCAAGTGGGAACTCCCTGTTAACCTTGACAAATGTGCCGTTCTCCCCATTGGGTACTTGATTCCGTTCGGTGTATATCACATCGGGGGTTATCTTCTCAAGACGGTCACCCACGAGAAAGATCGGAGTTATCGTTTCACATGACCTCAGAACCTCACCTGGCACACTAAAGAAGGTCGCGCCTGCTAACAGGATGCTGGATGCCCTATGAAGATCGTTCTCTCGAATCGCGCCAGAACCTTGTTCGTCTCACATGTTCGCCAAATGCTGGAGTATGGCCTTCCAGCTGTCCATCCCCTCTCGAAACATGAATGTACCTTGTTAGAAAAGCTTCAGAAGCTTGGCTCGAAATCCGTCTCAGAGCTCCACGACCTCAGCTACTCTCTTCGACTTCAGAAGCTTGACTTGTTCCCCTGGAGTATCGCCGCCGTCGAAGGGATCTCATTTACACCAGACGGATCCTAAGGGGAGAACTTGGGACAGACCTACAAAGACTTTCGACTCAAAGTGGATACCTCGACACGGGGTCACAAGTGGAAGCTTTACAAACGAAGAATACTTTTCGTCCAGTCTGATGCTGCCCTATCTACCCGGGTGGTGAACGATTGGAACAGCTTACCAGAGAACGTAGTTGATGCACAGACTGGGGAACGTTTTAAGCGTCTGCTAGATTGCCACCTGATGAGTACCGCGGGTTCCTGCTGCCCTTATTGCAAGGGCGAAGATCCCCAGAGGCGCATCGACTCGCAAACACAAGCATTAACCTCGCAATGAAGTGGAAGTAACGGAGCTGACAAGAGTCTCCCTTCCTGCTCTCCACACACCAGTAAACCAATTAGCTGCGTTTATCACAACGGAGATTCAGGTCTCCAAGCTATTGCAAAGCATTAATCCCTCTAAAGCTTCCGGTGCTGATTCAAATTTTCCCAAGCTGTTGCATGAATTGGCCGCTGAGCTGAGTGGTCCTCATACATACGTGTTTTCAAAATCGCTTGACAGTTGCGTCTCACCTTCGAAATGGAAAGAAACAATCATCTATCCGCTTTTTAAGGACAGTGACAGCGCTCTGCCTGCGAACTGCCGGCCTGCCACTTTCACAAGCGTAATAGTCAAGGTGTTTGCAAAACTGATAAGGGATTCGGCGAACAACCACCCGAACGAATTTAACCTTCTCAGTGTTGCGCAACATGGATTCCGCAAAGGATTTTCATGTCAGACTAATCTACTTGTAGCTCGTGAAAGCTGGGCCGAAGCGGTAGACAGTGGCCACGCTGTAGACGTGCTATTCATGGACTTTACGAAAGCTGTTGACACTTCCTCATCTTAGACTCTCCCTTAAGTTGATATCTGGTCGCGTCTTTTAATGGGTGTCTGCTTTCCTGGAGGGGTGGGAACTGTGTACGCGTGAAGCGTAGCCTTTCGCTTAGGCAAGCTGTCCTTAGTGGCATCTCGCAAGGCTCGAAATCGGGGTCATTGTTGTTTGCGATCTATGTAAATGACTTGTCGAGGGAGCTAGGAGTTTCATCACCAATGTTTGCTGACCACCTTAAGCTCTGGAATATTGTGGATATCCGGGGGCTTCCTGTGGCAATTTACTGTGTCTTGGATAGGCTCTGCTAATGGTCTACCTTATGGTTGATGCCCATAAATAGGGCCTTGTATTCTGTTCTCCGAATCAGAGCTACTAATTCTCCCACCCGATATGTTGTCGACTATGGTGGAATCCCTGTTGTCACTCAGCAGGTTGATTTAAGTATTGTCCACTCATCAGCTCTTCATTCTGGCGACAATTAGAACATGGCTGCTTTTGATGTGCTTAATCCGCCACTCTTTCGGAATCCTAACGGCCAATTTGTTTGTAAAGCTATTCTCGGCATTCGTTCGACCCCACCTGGAGTGTTGTATCCAGGCTTGTCCACCGTGTCATATCTGAGACAAAATGGACTTGGAGGAGGTGTTACGGATGGGCACTCGGTTAGTGCAGGGTCCACGGGAACAGATGTAGCCTGAACGCTTGCTTAGTTTGGGGTGTACTCCATGCACTACCGAAGGATAAGAGGGGACCTGATTCTCAGTTATCGTATTTTGTCGGGTAAGATCGTCCCGGACTTCTCAGGGCTATTTCGTCTCGCTAAGTTATTTAATCTCTGCGGTCACCCTATGAAGCTGCACCAACCACGGTCTGATAGGATTAGTACGGAAACTCGTCTGTCACGCCGAGTTATAGATCGCTGGGATTCGCTTCCAGATCACGTGGTTAGGGAACCTACGGTTAAGGGTTTTGCGCGCCAGCTCGATGCTCTTGGGTGGCAACACCGACCCTTTCATTTTTCCTAACTGACTCACCTTCACTTTTCAGTTCTTTTTTAATGACTCAAATATCTTGGTATTCTACTTGCTTAGCTCTTTCCACTTTCTCTTTTTGTCTTTTGAGTTTGCTTTTTTCTCATGCTTCACGTAACCGGCCCAGCAGGGACTGCTAGGGCAGTCTGCTTAACAACACTGTGACGTGGCGGTCGTGACTCGCCACAAAATAAAGTCACTGCCCCGTGGTTATCCGAATAATCCTTTCCAACGCACGGACATCCATCTTCTACTTGAGCATTGCCGACGATATGAGAGGCAAACTTAGAGCAGCACAGTTACAAACAGGAACCTTACAGTTACACACCCACACACACTCAGTTACATAATTACATACCCACCACATAAACATACACTGGTACGGCAAACATAACGGATTCTTGCACATTCTTGACCACGCATTGTTATGTCAAAATGATCATGCCTGCAAAGGCGTGCCTCGCCTTGTCGAGAATAAAAACTTTATTTATTTATTTATTTATCCGTTTGAGTTGGCTACGCCGCATCACCTGCGCGGGCATCGCCTGTGGCCTAAACAACATAAGGCTCGTTTGGACATCAGGTGGAAACTTTCTACAAACCGAGTAGTTAACATCAGGAATAAACTTTCTTTTTGATTTGGTAGAATGTGTGTGTCGGCCGATGGCCGAATGGTCTGCACGTTTGGTTTGCAACCATAAGGTCACCGGTTCGAATCCGCGTAGGTGTGGGCGTCCTCTCGGTATACTCAGCCCGCGCACGACTGGTGGTGGTCGCGCTGCAGCGAAGCGCCGCTACGGCGTACAGCTGGCACATTATTATTATTACATTAGAAGCCTCGAAAAGGGGCTTAGCTAAATGTTATTCTGACCTTTTTCCAGAGATATTATAATTTTACTGGAATTTGTGGTGTATTATGATGCTAACGCATGAACGTGCAAAGGTTGCTCCTATTCTTTTTTCATACTTTTGCAGAAGCAAGAAGCGTCACTCCAACATCGAAGTACCGGGGCTGTTTTTCACTTACCGGTACAAGAACCAGAAGGCTCATTAGTCGAAGGCCACTACAGTCTGTGATACCTGACCTGACTTTATGCCAAAAACAAAAAGAAAGCGCGTCCCTGATGTGGACTCCACGGTAGTTTTATTTTACTTATTTCAGCGTCCGGTTTAGGTTTTGGGGGAACGAGAGGTTAAAAAATTACGGAGGCTTTTGCGCCAGAACCGCGACGAGTGCGTCAAATATCCCGTAACTAATCCATCGTTCAGAGAAAAGTTGGCGATTACGAATTCCGAGCGCCTCCAACAACCTAGAAACCTGGATTTAGATTCGGACACCCATCACTCCGATGATGAAGTCGAAACCATCGAGAAACCATCCGAAACTGAGGTTTCGTTTATTTGTTTACTTGTCACCATTTCAGTTCCCTGTCGAGCATGACGAAGAGTGGAGGAAGTTTTTTGGAGTATCCGAAGAAGATGGTAACTTGATCGAGGATCTCCAGAAAAATTTAACGGAGGCTAAACTGAAGGTATTGCTTCTGAACCTTTTCTCTCTCTGCGGTATGATGAAGCTTACATTTTGCTATCACAACTACCATCTGTGATGCTGTCTGATACATAATTAGCACCTTCCTTTCTCATTCTCCCGAATATTTTTGCCGCATGTGCGTTTTACGTTGGTAGAATCACGCAAACACCCTAACACCCTTGCCAGAAATATCCAGACTACAGCGTGGACAGTTAGTATCGTCTATGTTGGTGTTGATTGGTTGATTTATTCCTCCCCGGTTTCAAATCGATCCCACGAACCCTACCCTGGTTCAACAACGCACTCAAGAAGGCATGTCCGTGGGCCTCTAACTGTTACTGCACCGTTTCGAACCTTGATCCTTGTGTTACTTTGCTACAGAAGAGTCTGGTATAAGTAATATCTTTAAGGTTACAGCACCGCGAATTTAACATTTTTCAAGCTTTTTTGGATAATGACGTCCTATTGCTTGATTACGGTAAGGGACGTTCAGCACAATCTACTGGTTGGCTACATATAGCTTGTGTTAACTTATTCTGATCGATTTGAACTGTTCATTTAGTTGTAGAAGACAGCAGAGAGGTCCCATGTTAGCTCCGTCGTCTCCAGTTCAGCACTAGCAGTACGTATATCGTCGCGACCCAGTAGTCCTCAGAGAACCAGAGCAGTCGCACTAAGACAGAACGGACCAGGTCTTTTACGTAGGTGAATGTATAAGAGCCGTTTGAAACTCCTCGGTCGGCGCATCGACAAAAGTCTCCGGCAGACGTTTCTAATCAATCACTACCCCCAGTGGAGAGGGCGACAGCGGTACGGACTTTGAGCCTCCTCGGTTTGAAAAGCTTCCTGTTGTGACCTTATGTCGAGCCATCTATATTGTGCTGGCAAAGCTGCTGTAGCTACTTCCCTTCTTAGTATGCGCTTCGTAAAGATTAGGTCTCCACGACAACGACGGTATTCCATGGGGATTTGTTTGTTGAATCCGGAGGGATTAAGGAAGATCACGATGCCCAACAACGGATTTAAAGCCACACCACTGGATCTTTTCGATTAAAGTATATCCAAGCTTAGAGAGTGGGAATGCACCTGGCAGATCATACTCTAGAATCGGTCGCGCCTGGAAAATAGGCTGGAGCCTAAAGATTTTCGGTGTCACTCGATAGAAAGACCTTACGTCACAGCACATCCTGTTTGCAGCGGCGATTCTTTCCGGTATATCCTGTGTGGTTTTCAGGTCAGGTGCTAATGTTACTTCTGGATCTTTTTCCAGAGCAGCGTGTTTAAGAAAACACTCCCCAATGAGGTAAGTTGCATGTGATTCAAAAGCCCTAATCGGTGGGGTGCAGCATTTTTCGTAATTTATTGGTAGGCCCCACTTGATGAACTAGTCGTGCAATAGACCAAGGATTACCTGTGGTCAATCAGTTACGTCAAGATCAGCCACATCGGACTACAGCTTGAGGTCCTCGACATAGTTCAGACATTCGGTTTGGGGGTGTTATAGAAAGCTCATGGATGCACAGCTTGAACAGTTGGGGTCCAAGGACAGATCCTTGTGGGACACCGCTGGTCATTAGCACTGGCTTGGAAAGCGTTCCGTTCACACCCACTTGCATGGTCCCATCATCCAGGGAGTCGTCAACCCACATGTGTAGGCTGTCACTAACAATGTCCGTAAGCTTCCAGTGAAGCTGCTGATATGGGATTTTTTCGAACGCTTTGCTAAAACCGACGAAAACTACATCTATGCGTTGTCCGGCATCAATTGACTGCCCACTTTTCTATCGCCACTTACAGGTTGGAGGAGCAGGAGCGTCCCTTATGGAAACTATGCTAAGTAGAGGAAGTGATGTTGTCGCGCGTTTGATCTTTTCCATGACCTTACATATAATAGATGCCAAGCGGATTGTGCGATATCTCACAGGGTTCTCTCGATTTCTTCTCGGTACTTATACATTACGGTCCCACTCTTCCAGTCGATGGCAAACGACCAGCCTTCAAAGAGAGTTGAAAAACTTAGCAGATGGAACGAGTAACAGTCAGCCACTGTCTTGAGGAAAAAGAGATGCAGTCCGTCAGGGCATGTGAGGTGTTTGGGTGCAGTTTAAGTAAAAGTTTCAAAACCGTATCCGGCTTGAATTTAATAATTTATGTGCGGTAGAGGTGCGCTGATTCATTTTTGTTGTTTGACGGGATTCTGGCAAGTACACAGTGGAGTATTGGCGGCATATGAGATTTGCTTTCTCGTCGTCTTCATAGAGCGCGATACCTGTCGCGTTCCATGCAATGAGTATGCCTCTATCTGCTTTGGTTCTCTTGTTGTTATAAGCGTATAGTTTTTGATCTAGATAAAGATTGTTCTGCCAAACTATGTTCATTTTTGTCTTATTTTGCGCTTTTCCTTAGCGCACATGTCAACCACTTCTTCGGTCATTAACTTTCTACGCATATCATATCTGTGTTGAGCTGCAGACGTCTTGAATGGACTGTCACGCAACTGCCACGCGGCTCCTGAACTTGGTGATGACTGAGGAAAGCTTTCCGGTATTTCCTTTTTTATCCCATCTTGAGGCTGGTTCATTTACTCCCATGAGTGCCCAAAGTGTCTTTTGCTGCTTTTTTTCAACGTTACGTATGACTGATGCAGGGGGCGGTGGTTGGGAAGAGAAATCCTATGCCATTAAGCCATGCTGAGTTCGATTTTTGCACTTTCAAAGTCACTCCTATCAGATTGGTCAATGGTTTGAGGCCACACTAATACAGTCTCCTAGCCGTCTAGGTTGGGAGTTGGAGTGCTTGACACCTTACTCCACAAAACAAACTAGTTCCAAAACCCGCTGTCTTGCGCTTAGATTCTGAACCAATCTCTTGGGTTGAAAACCCCAGTCGTTCTTCTGTCTAGGTCTAGGAAAATTTACACTATTCTGTTTATGCAATACAGTGGCCTTCAACCAGCTTCTTGAGGCTCTGGCCGTCACAGACGACAATCATCGGCCCTTACCTGCTGTATCATGCAGGGTGGTTAGTAATGAGGATGTTACTGCTCATACCTTCCTGTGTTCCCGTTCCGCATCTTACCTTTTCTCATTCTTATGGTCCTGTTCCAACTTCACTCTTATCCCCCTGTTTCCAGTCCCCAATTCTTGGCTCTCCACCTTGTTTTGATGGTCGCTTGGCTTCTAGTTTCTACGCACTTTTGCATTGCCTTGCTCCAGTCCAGTAGACAAGTCCATGTCCAACCAAGCGGACAGCATCCTTCATTCTTTTCTATTTGGAGCCCCCGATCCTCACTAAGACTGGCATACCTCAACTTGCGCACTTTATTGCAACTCAGTCAACGGGCGGCATTTATCCGAACGCTAGTCATCATCGTTAATACACGTTAACTGAGGGTGCGAAACGCACCTCAGTTTAATCAATCTGTGCTATCGTCTTTATCGGGCATTGTTTGCACTCCTCCCGGGGTCATCCCCTTGGGTCCATCCCCACGCGCAGCAGTCAAACGTTAGATCAAACTATTGGGATTTAATTTAACTCCAGGAGTACTAGACTTCCTCCAGGCCACTACAAATTTGAGGTACTTACTCCTGTAGATGATTTGCAAAACTTGCTAGTGAAACTTTAGGAGCAGAAGACGTCCTAACCGACTGGAACCGCTCCTTTATAGCCCAATTTTCAAGGGAGACTCACGTTTTAAGAGTGTAGCAATCATAGAGAAATCATTTTGATCCCAAATGCCTCTAAATTGTTTGTATTTGTCGTTCTCCACAGACTAGCTGGCACCCGTGAAAGCTAGATTTGTGTGGAGCAAGCCAAGTTTCGTCGAAATTGTGGCTGAATTGACTACATCTTTATTTTACCTCTGTTGTTGGAGCACCATCATATTCACTGGCTACTCACCATCGTCGTTTTTCTCGACATCAAGGGTGTCTTCGATTCAGTGGATCGATTTGATATTTGAGACTGCTCAGGAAAGATGTGACCGATAAATATATAAATGTCATAAGAACACTTTACCCACATAGTCCAGGCAGAGTGTGTGTTTACAGTGTACTGTCGTCACCCTTTGATATCTCCCGTGATGTAAGACAAGATTGCCCGTTACTTTTCTTCTTTAACTTCGCCATTGACGAAGTCATAGAAACAGTGTTCGCCAGACACAACTTACAAATTGTGGGGCTGCTTCCTGGTTAGCGACTCCTTGGTTTGAAGTCTCCCGACTACATTGAGTTTGTCTATGACAGCTCATAGGCATACCAATCAGCAATGGACCGTTTCGGCCGGTGGCCGATCAGTCAACATGCCTGGCTTACAAACAAGGTCATCGGTTCGAATCCGCATAGGAGAGGGTTACCTCACGGTATGCTCAGACCACGCGCGATTGGTAGTGGTCGCGCGACAGCGAATAGCTGACGATTTATTTTGCTTAATGGATATTTCAGCGCTGGCTGCCATTCGTTCTGGGCTTTTCATGACACCCTCAAAACGCAAAGTCCTTATCCAAAATTGCTACGGACCTACCTCTGCGTTGACCTTTGGTGTTGCTCAGCTTGAACTCGTTTAGAAATTTCAGTACTTAGATCTTTTGGCGCATTTAGAATAGAAGAGGTCGTGAACCGGATGGCGGAAGCTCGAGACGCTTTTGGCAATCTCCGCCACCTGTGGCATCGGTGCGACATCACTTTCTCCCTGAAAGGCAGAGTTTACAATGTAGTCACAACCATCTTGTGCGGTTGCGAACCATGTCCCATCAGGTCGACAGACATAACGAGGCTAGTTACTGTATTATGATAGCACGCCAGAGAAAGACCAAGGAGTAAAGAATCAAGACCTGGAAATTCAGGCTTTATTCGTCTATGCATGTAGACGAGAGCTGAAAGTATGACGAACAAGGAAAGTGTATTGGCAATGATACATATGGAGAGGAATAATACTACATTCTACCCCACCGAAGTTTTAAAGAGTGTACGTAACAAAAGTGGATAGTGTTGATGACAGAAA